GACAGCATTGAAGAACTGAAGGACTTTCCTGGCTCCAACAGATCTAATGTCGTCTGGTTGTGGCATGAGCCTTCCCAGTATGGAGTTTCGTACGCCCATAACATTGGGTGAGAATACTAGCAGGAGTATCGTCCATTTCGTGGCAGAATCTATACTCTCTATTCTCTTTCTGCCCAATATATGACATGTGCTTATTCAAGACACAGTGTCCTGTTAAGACTCTAGTGAGCATTCTGATGCCATTCCTGTACAATAACAAAGCTTCTCTACAGTGTTTAGCACTGCAGGCAGCCATCAAGGCCTTTGCATGCTCAAGATCATTACTCTGTAGCCACACTTCTCATGCCACAAAGAAGGCCTATGCTCAGCAGACTACATTATGCTAACATTATTATAATTAATTTTTTACCTGAACGCTTAAGTCCTTCACCGCGAATAATAAACTCGTGAATAAAGCAACGATTGCTAAAATGTTACGTATATTGTGTAAGGCAGCTCACCAAGGTTAAAAAGTAGAGTCATTTGGCTCTTATAAGCATTGAATCATAAGCAATAACGGAGAGATGGCGAAGGTTGCTCATGACGTGTTAAGGTTGCAGATTGTTCGTATTGAAATCGGGGAATCCGCATTACGAATGAGTAATTTGTTTACTTGTGAAATAAAGAGGTTTTGACCGACTTCAAAAAAGGAGGAGGTTCTCAATCCCACTGTTACGATCTGAGCCCCAGAGTGTCTTTAAGAGATAAGTTTAAAGAGATTAACATTTAAACACTAACATTACAGTACATTTATGAAGAAAAATATTATTTCTTTTTATGAAAAATAAAACAGACATAATAAACATAAACTAGGCAGCTGTTGTTGATAGTCGTCTCCACAAAGTCTCAAATTCATATAAAGGTTAAAGTACATTACGCTTCTATATTAAGCTTCCGATTGATATACGAAATTTGGCATTAACGATGTTTGAAGCCATAGTAAAAAAAAATATTACACTAAAGGTTATTATACAACTTTTGCGTACTTGGATGACAAAAATCTGTGGTAGTGACCCGCTTAGCTCTTTCAAGTATTCTCGATCTAAGATGTCCAAATTTAATATTGTAATGATAAATGTTTTTAAATGTATATTTAGAAAGAGCAACCCCTAGAGTGTCTTGCTCGTTCTTGTCAGAGTTATCTGCATTACTAATGAGCAGTAGAGTTTAATCAGTACGTCGATTCCAAGTGTAATTTGTTTACAAATAAAGATTATTTGACTGACTTTGACTGTATTATTTTTTTTGTATGTATTCAAATCGGTCAAATTTAATAAAAAGTTTTTTCATACAAAATCAATAACATTTTATTAAATTTGACCAACTTCTTCCCGATAATTTTTTTCCAATACAATAAAATCATTATAAGTAACAGAGTCTATCAGAATAAAAAAAATTTTCAAAATCATTTTATGAAATAGTTTACTTTTCATTGAGTAACAATCAAAAATCTTACAATTCGAAAAGTATAATGTCATACACATCCCATATTGGAATAAATAAAGTCACATATCCGCCTACATCCAATACCTTACTACGGCGAATAATGACTCATTATATACCCAGTGCATTACATAGCATATTATAATACATAAGCAAGGTAATATTGACGGTCGTAGGTGAAATTCCGCTACTATTGTTCGTCTGTTTGCCATAACATCCGTAAGATTAGTGATGTTACGATGTGTAGGCGGATGTGGGGCTTGTTGGGGTTTTCCTATAATCGTTGTTAATTTCATGGGCTATAAAATCAGGCAACCTAATAGATTGATGTCATGGTGTAAAGAATTACAATAAACGATTGAATGTTTTTGATTGGGGAATTTTATTATTGTAGTAGCAGTGGAGCGCTTTCATTTAAGACGTAATGAAATCGAGTAACTGAAGTAATATTTTTACTAAGTTTTTATTGAATGTCAGGATGTTTGACCATCATGATATTCAATTATGTTTTGTGATATTACTCCATTACTTTGTTATAATAATATCAAGTGAGCTACAGGCCTGTCCATGACAATTGCAGTGCCACTCAGAGCTTTTTAAAGATCTGAGGGGCACTGCCACTGCGTCTGTCTCCCTGAGACATGAGTTGGAAAGTTTCATGTGCCAGTAATTTCACCAGCACCCTTACCCTTCAAAACTGGAACCGGCCATTCTCACCGATTCCTTAAAATATTCGTTTCTCAATAACTGGAAAACTACATTGTCTATTCTAGTGACATATAGACATATTGATAGTTAAATTAAAAAATGGGTATATTAAGCGAGAAAAACAATGCCTACGGTAATTAGACTGAGAATACCGAACGTGAGAATGGCAGGAACACAGTAATGGTGACATTACTGCTTGGCGGTAGAAATAGGTTAGGTGGCAGTACTACCCCGGACGAACTCTTTCACAAGGAGCTGGGGGCTGATTCACGTAATCAAACCGTTACGATACGACAGTGAACATCAACGAGTCCAATTTTAAAGTCGTTCGATCCATATGTCGTTAAAGCGTATTCTGGTCTGGTAAATCGACTCTAAGCGACAAGTCATACGTGTTCTCATTGACTTACAATTATATGGACGTCGGGTCCGCGCTAAAAAGTGTCCGAACTTACAGGGCGTTAAAATCGTACACAGAGCGTCATTCACGCTGTAGTCTTCGTTTGTTCGACTGACAGCGAAGCAAGCAAAATTAGACAGTACTGCGATGACATTACAATTTAAATTCAACGTTTTAGCTTTTTCATATTCCTTTACATGTCACTACGTTTAAACAGGTTGACTTGGGACATTTTTTCGTGATTTTTGTATTAGACCCGTCGTCCATTTATTTGTAAGTCAATGCGTATTCTGCTAAAATTTTGACAGTTCTTTCAATAGACTTCGACGACGACTAAATGTCAAATTTCACAATCCAAGATGTCGTTCCGTTTCGGTTCTACTCATATCAACGTTCGTTCATGTGATAGGTGAATACCCATTTTGGATAGGACTTCGATCGAACGACTACGTAACTTCAACGATATTATGATAGCTTTAACTTACGTGAATCGCACTACTGTCCTGCTACTAATAATATAAAGATCGAACACTTAGAAACATTCCTTCGATCCGGCCGGATACGGACCGACGTCTTCTGAGAAACCGTGCCAGACGCTATGTCTAAGCCGCGGAACGAACCAGTGGACCTCACGATTTTTTCTATGTGCTTGTTTTTGGTTTTTAGCGACTTTTTAGCCGTAGCGCCATGTGTGAAAATTCTATGAAAATACTTTCACCCAGTTAGGTTAATTAGTTACCTTTACAGCTACCAGCCCTGGCCAGGGATGTCACCAAGATTTGAGGGGCACTGCCACTGCCCCGACTGCCACTGCCACTGCCACTGTGCCTGTAATTTCTGCCATAATAACTGCCACCAAGCTGTAATATGAGCGTTACTGCGTTCCAGTTTTGAAGGGTAAGGGTGCTGGTGAAATTACAGGCATATGGGACTTGTCAACTTACGTCTCAGGGTGGCGGGCGCAGTGGCAATGCTCCGCAGATATTTGCGATTTAAACTCTGAGTAACGCTGCGACTGTTACGAGCAGGCGTGTCGCTTATCACAAGGCGCACGATTTGTTCGTCCTTTCACTTGGTAGCATGAGAAAAACTGTGCACGAAGTTAATAAAGATCTCTAAACAAAACACAGTTTTTTTTTATTTTAAGTAATTTATTCATGTTAAATATAATTACATAGTTTAACACAGAAACTTAAATTGTATTTTAACTTAGTATACATTGTGTATTAAGGGCGGTAAGCAAGGAATTACGTACGAGACTCTATTAGAAGCCCGAAGTTGAAGATTGAGGCTTTCGGAGTCGAGGTTCGTAATTCCCGCACCGCCCGTGAAATATACAACGTTTTCATCACACTTGCACGTAAATAGTATAATTTCATGCAGGCTAACATGGCTATAATGCCACCCTTTTTAGCTGTAATGAAAAGAAAAAAGCCCGAGGGTTTTATTTGGGGCATTATAGTCAAGTTAGCCTGCATGCAATCATACTTTTTACGTGCAAGTGTAATGAAAAGAATATTATTACTGCATATAAAGAAAGAGCTTAACTAACTAAGGCACTAACTGTGGTTTTTAATACTTATACTAGAACTAAAGGTTAGAATTACAGTCAGTTACACCTTTTTTGTATGGGCCAAAAAATGTTTATAAGTTTTCAGAGATCTAACATCTCTATATACATCTCAAAAATAGTATTAATTTTTTGTTTGTTTACTTCTCAGACATTGTGTTTTACTAGTTGAAACCCAAAATAAGCTTACGCCCTAATCCCACAGGAAGGGTAGGCAGAGGCCACGGAACGCCACTTTACCCTATTCTGACACAACTCTCGAGCTTCACATATATCAGCTACCCTTTTCATACAACTTCTTGTCACTTCGGATCCCAGCCTTTTTGATGACATCACTGATCTGGTCATTGTAAGTCCTTCTGTGACGTCCTCTTAAAGTCCTTCCATCTTTTTTATTAGCAGTAGAGCTTCTTGCGAAAGAGGTCGTTCAGGGTAGTACACACGCATACGCACACATGTCAGATAGTATTATGTAACTTGTTGTTTAAATGCTTTTACGCTGTTTTTTGGTGTTATTTCTGTTCCAGTTATATTAATCTTTGTTTTTGTGTTTTTTTATAATGTGGCGCTACAATAAATTGTTTCTATTTCTACAAACGCAACAATCTGCTTTTCGAACATCTTCGGCGTCGTAAACGCGCGTTAAAATTTTTTATTATAATGATAATAAATATCAACTTAACAAAAAGGACTTTGTTTTATATATAAGCTATATATATATAGCTATATAGATATGATATTCGCATGTTTTTATACCCAAAGCTTAATATTTCTTTACCGTGATTTTTGTTAAAAGTATGGCAGATTTTTAAATAGGCAATTGCGCTGTGTCGGTCAGGTTCAAGAATCGGATTTTTCCGAAAATCTAATATCTGTTCCTTTCAAATTAGCTTCCATCCATTCCTGAGCTTCTTTCTTTAGGTCGTCATCAAATTTATCTTTCCATCCTCCTGGTTTACCTGAAAATTAATACAATCAACAATAACAAACGAAAATTCCGAGGTAGCATAATGGTGTGACGTACAGCTTCTCAAGCAGAGGCGTTATTGAAGCTTTTTTTTCTACTGTCAAGTGATGGAATGAAAGAGTCGTGCGCATGGTGGTAAGCCACACGCCTGTCCATAACAGTTGCAGTGCCACTCAGAGCTTTAAATCCCAAAGATATGAGAGGCAATGCTCTATCCCATCTGCCTGCAGTTTCATCAGCATCCTTCGAAACCGGAACGGATGCTCATATGAGCATACCAAGCAGTAATATTACTGCTTGGCGGTAGAGATAGTTAAGGTGGCACTACTTCCCTGGACGAACTCTATTACAAAAAGCACTATTGCTAGTAAACTTGCTTAAGAAGAAAAACACAAAAAGCACGGAAATCTGTTCATCAAGAGCTTTTGATTCACATGTTCGCTCACCTTGATAGAAAAAAGGTTCTTCTCCCTCATTGGTTAAACCGATAACACTAAACTTTCTTAAATTTACTGTGTTGTAAGTTTTGAAGTTGTCGAATTTCAAATAGTCGCACAATAATGTGAGTTCTTCCTCATTCAGATTTTTGTTAAGAAAGTTTGATATACGCCTCAGGTTATTTCGAAGATCCTGAAAGTAATGGCGGATAAATTTGAAAGTGCTTGAGTGATATACGGGACTTAGAAGTTTGATGATTTTGTTCGTTTGTGGCACCGTGGCTACCAAACGGCTGGATCGATCTCAAAGCGATGATGACCGTTATTATGATTTGTCTATTGAAAAAGTCATAATTTGGTAAACTAAATAATGAATCTAAGAGTCTTAGTGGCTTGGTTAGGATCACAATGCGTAACTTTAGAATTAATGATATTTTAACCTTGGACGTTGAATATAATAGTTATCTTGACATCCAAAGGGATGCACAGATTTGGAAAAGGTTTTTTTTTTATTATATTTAATCGAGATGGTGCTTAGAACATCTATTCAGCAGTTTGTAGATCATCAGCTCTTCTCAGTTAGTATAGGGATCTCATTGATATGAAATTTGGTATCCGACGGCATTACAATAATTTGGTAATCTTGATCGGATGTTGTTCAGGACAGTCTGCAGCCTGCTCACGGCCTCCATGGTCGAGTAGTTTGCTCACGGCTTTTCATGATGATCTCTGAGGTCCCGGGTTCGATCCCCGGCCGGGTCAGTGTAGAAACTAACTTTTCTATATTGTCTTGGGTCTGGCTGTTTGTGGTAACGTCGTTATTTCTGATTTCCATAACACAAGTGCTACAGCTACTTTCTTTGGGATCGGAGCATCGTTTGTGATGTTGTCTAATATTTATTATTATTTACTCAGCTCCTCAAGTATTTACTGTAGAACTATCGTGTTTGGGTTCATTAAATTGGTCCCAAAAAGATATTTAGCTTACGGATGGTGACTTTACTGACTTTCTGGAGCACACTATTTTGTGTCGGCGGGTTTTTAATATTTATTATACAAGGTTATTTTAAAATACAACTTAACAACCCACATGACCATATTACTAACATCACAAGCTTTAAATCACCAAGACCAACAAAAGCTTTAAATCACCAAGATCTGTCACTGCACCCGTCACCCTGAGACATAAGTTAACAGTTCCATGCACCTGTAATTCCACCAGCATCCTTACCCTCCATAACCGGAACGCTGTAATGATCAGATTACTGCTAATCGGCCGAAATAGGTAAGGTGACAGTACTTTATGGACGAACTCTTTCTCCAGGAGCTCTACTGCTACTATTTGTATTCACTATGGGTGTTTAAGGTACTCGGAAAAATATTACGTTCTTACGGGCACACGTGCGGATACTGACAAATGCGACCGTTTACCTATGGAGCCAAATAAGGAGTTAGAATAATGAATAGTGTGGATGATTTACTTGCGTATTTGTTAATTTGGCAAGTTGATGTGCGTCGAGCATCGAGTATATAACCAGAAATGCCGACGAAATAAGGGCCATTCCTGGTGAGTTACTAGGAATAAGTGATACATCACTTATAAATGCGTTGCGTGCGCGTTAGTTTTTGTGTTCGTCGTCGGATTAATTAGAAATGCCTACGGTGTGTCGAGCTTGTGGTAAAGATGTGTGTAATGAACAGTACATGACATGTTCGTACAACTGTGAGAAAGGGTACCACTTAGCCTGCATTGGAATGGTGCACGAAGATTTTGAGTCATTCACGCCCGAGTTCAAGCAACAATGGGTTTGTCCGGAGTGCATTTGCTCCAAATCACAACTATTGCGCACAGACTCGGATACCCCTATTCGAACCCCTATTCGGAGCTTATGCAAGATCTTAAAAGAATTTACATCCAGCGACTTTGTTAACGCTCAACGGGGAAGTCGCATGAAAACAGCACAAACACCAGAAACAATACAGTCACTAATCACCGTAAGTCAGGAGTCTAGAGTTTTGGCCGAACTTGCAGAGTTTAGATCGGAAATGATAAAAAGATTGGATGTTCAAACCAAGACTATTCATCAACTTCGGGATTTATATTCGACCACTAAAAGTGAATTACAAGAAGACGAATACGAAGGTACTTCAAGAACAGGTTAGTAAAATATGCTATCAACACCTGGTAAAAGCTTGTTATCAACAGCTGGAGTCATACAATAACCGAAACTCGCAAACAGGGTGTGAGACACCAGTGAACGCGATGCCGAATACATTCGCCACGGCAGTAAAACAGCCGGCAAAGAAATCGGCAACTACCGCTCGCATTGATAAAGTGCGAGAGGCCACAAAAAACGCGGAAGGGTCAGGTAAAGTTACAAGAGACAAACGAGAACTTGAATCACATGAGGGCTCTGTAAGTGTAATGGAGTCTGCATTGAACAGCAAACATCAAGAAGACCACAAGCAAGAATGGACCACAGTTCACAGGAAGAAAGGACATTTCCATGCTAAAGACATTAAGCGAGGGAAAAATGCGAATGTAATGGAAATACAGTCTGCAGAGAGAAGCACCTTTATATCTGGCCGTTGACTACAGAAACTACAGTGGAGAAACTAACTGCGTATGTTAAAAAAAGTTTGTGGTTCTGAAGTCTCGGTTAAAATAGAGAGAATTAAGCACAAGACTGAAAGAAACTATGCTTCCTTCATCATCACTGTGTCGGAGGCAGTATATGTAAAGCTCAGTCAACCTGAAGTATGGCCTCTAAATGTTGAATTTAGTGAGTGGAGTTGGCTTCGGAGATCTACTATTAAACCAGTCCAACAACCATAGCAGCATAGAAATTTTCTACCAAAATACTAGAAGGCTGCGCACGAAGTTAAGTGTGTTCCAAAATAAAATTAAATCTATTAGTAGTGATATTTTCGTAATCACGGAAACAGGGTGTAATGAATCCATATAAGATGCCGAAATTGTACCTCCAGGCCACAATATAATACGTTGTGATCGGACGGACGGGCGTAAGCAAGGAGGCGCGTTTCTCGTGACCACACACCGGTTAGAGTTAGAGTGAAGCTACCCGATGACGTCGACATAGATAGTTGCTCATTCGAACTGGTTTGTGCTACTGTACGTATTAAACATCGATTTTTGTTTCTGTGTTGCGTAGTGTATATTCCACCGGGCAGTAACGAAAATGAATATATGGTATTATTTAGAGTGAAAGATACAGAATTTAGTATTAGGAGATTTTAATTTATATTCCGGTAATGAAAATATAATACTTTATTTTGAATATTTTTTGCCCTTTTGTGAATTGGCTCAGAAAAACAAGGTATCTAATTGTAATAATAGACAACGCGATTTAGTGTTAAGTTCGTTGAGCACCACCCGCTACTAGCTGTGGAGCTGTGCCTTGGCGCGGGTGCCGATGCTGATGGCGGGGGCGTGGTCCAAGGTGAGAGCTCTTCTACCTGACCCACCGGAATAAATACACAGGCTATATAAATGCAGTGGCTCCAGGAAGGATTATGAGAATTTTTCCAGGTGTAGGGTGTTAATTAAAAAAATTAATAAAGAAGGCACAGGAACAACACCAAGACCGAGTACAGCATCATCTAATGAGAGATCCTAAGGCATTTTGGGATTACTTAAGGACAACAAAAGGAATGGTGAACCGTAGGACAATTATCAAGGAGGGTACCGTTCTAGCGAATCCGGAGTGCGCTGAATAATTTGCAAAGTACTTCGTGTCAGCAGGGAGTCACCACAACTGGATGTGGAGGCGGCGGCCAAACGACTGGCGGGCCCAGATGGAATTCCAGCGTTTGTGGTGAGTGATTGTAGTGGGGTGCTGGAGGAACTACTAACACATAAATTTAATTTATGACTGCTTAAGTCATACTTCCCGGAACGGTGGAAAGTTACACGCGTAATACCTGTGCACAAGCGGGAGCGGGCACAGATGTGTAGCTTTAGACCAGTGGCTATACTGTCAAGGACGGCGAAGGTGTTCGAATCCGCCATCCAGCGGAGTTTACAGTAGCAGGTGGCAAGTCAATTGTGGCTTTCGGCTGGGGCGAAGTACTACCAGCAACCTTCTCAACACCATGGAGTACGTGGTACCCAAGGTCGATGCAGGATGGCAGGTCGACGCCACTTATTTTGATTATAAAAAGGTTTTTGACACAGTAGACAACGACATCTTGTTGTCGAAGTTAGCGGCAGTCGGATGCACTCCAAAATTGCTCAGCTTTTTTGCGAATTACATGGGGGACAGGCGGCAGTATGTGGAATATGCAGGTTGTAGATCTCAGCCCTACTTCACGAAATCGGGCGTGAGGCAAGGGAGTAATTTGGGCCCATTAGAGTTCATTATTATGATTAATGATCTACCAGGTGTAGTAAAGATGTCTACTTTTCGCTGATGACCTCAAGTTGCTTATGGCAATCAAAGGAAGAGAAGACTGAAGCAAGATATGGATAGAGTAGTCGAAATAACAAACTTCAATTCAATGTCTCAAAATGCCAAATTATGACATTCGGCCGCTCAAGACTGCCAGTGTAGCTACGAAGTAGACGGGGCACTCACGCAACGTACGGACGCGGTGCAAGATCTGGAAGTACGGTTGAATTCGGAGTTGATATTCAGGGACTATATAATAAATGTATGTAAGAAAGCCTATCGAAGTTTGAGTTTTGTGATTCGCCGAGCAACCACATTCTACAACGCTTTGATACGGAGTCAGTTAGAGTTTAACTCAGCCATATGGGCTCCGCACGAAGCGAAGTATAATCTCATGCTCGAGCGTATCCAGAAGAAATTTATTTTATTTCTGATTATTAAGGTAGTAATTATGAACGTTGGATTAGATTTCTAAGTATATGAAATTGTACATTTTCAATATTAAGATACAATTTATTTTTAATACTGTAATCGCTCAAGTTATCTAAATCATTCTGTAAATTTAAACAATCCTGGTTATATTTAATAACATTAAAAATTTTAATATCGTCAGCAAGTAGGAGTAATTTTGAATTTATTAAACATTTTTTAACGTCGTTTATAAAAATATTGAAAAGGAGAGGTCCTAAGTGAGATCCCTGGGGAACACCGGAACTAATAGGGGTGAAACTGGAAGTGAACCCTTTGATCGCAACTGCTTGGGTCCATTCGCGGAGGTACGACTCAAGCCACCGAAGTAGATTACCATGTATACCGATGTATTCTATTTTTTTTAATTAATAAATTATGAGAAATTTTATCGAAAGCTTTAGAATAATCGGTATATACGGCATATCAGGTGGATACCTGATAACTATCGTCAAAACTACATAAAGCAATGTCACGAAATTCACAAAAATTAGACTCAGTTGAACATTTGTTAACAAATCCATGCTGTCCAGTTATAAGATGAGGTCGAACAACGGGGTACAAATTATCGTAAATATTTTTTTCAAATAATTTAGGTATGATAGATAATTTTGAAATACCTCGGTAATTCCGGATGTCATGTTAGTCTCCTTTCTTAAAAATGGGGACAACTAAGTAACGCTTCCATACATTAGGCATCGTGCTTGATAACAAGGAGATGTTAAATAGATAGCTGATGGGAACACATAAGGTATCGCAGCAATCACGCAGGAAAATAGGATGCAATCCATCAGGACTACTACCTTTCGTGATATCTAAGTGGCTTAGTTATTTTTTGACGATAGATGATGTAATTTCTACGTTGTTAATTAACATGTCAAGTTGCTTATCATCCATCGGTAAAAGAACAGTATAATCTTGTACGAAAACTGATTGAAAGAATGTGTTAAATAAACTTGAAATTGTTTACATCGGAGCCCATTACATGATTTAAGTACATACTGTCAAGAATTCCAGTATTATTAACTATAGATTTTATGTATGTCCAAAACTGCTTTGAATTCTTTCGAATCTTATCCTCCGCATTATATATCTAAATTTTGTAACCGGAGGATTCCATTAATTTAAAACGTTTGCGAATATTAGAAAATCTTCATAATCACTGTAATTGCCAAAAGTTTTCCACTTTTTATGCCATTTGAGTTTCTTCCTAAATAACCCTATTACAGGCTTAGTATAGAAAATAGGAAATTAAGTATTGTTTTGAACATTTTTAGATTGAATCCTGACAGACAAAACTGCCAGTCAACTTTAGACAGTTCGGCGTTTATTCGAATATAATCGGCTTTGTAAAATTGACGCACAATACGGAGTTGAGGTTTCAAGGATGAGGTTTGTACGCAATTCCGGATGATGCCCATCCTCGGGGATAGCATAGGGATCAGTTCTAGTCACTGTACATGGCAGACTGGCAATAACTAGATCTAAACACCTATTATTCACTTTTACCACACTATTAAATTGACACCAGTCAGTATACAGACTCAAAAACAAATGTAATTGAGTAGTTAAGTTATTAAATGATGGATTATGCAATATGAATTTATTATTATTAGCTACGCATTCAGCTCCACTAATGTTAAAATTACCAAGGATTACAAAATCCATATCCGCGTTGTCCGTACATACTTGGTACTTGGTGCAACGGGCTGATATCCGCAACTCGACGACAAAGCGCCTATTTTGCGTGTCCGTAGATAATTCAGATAAATAATCGAAAAATAACATTTGTGTCGAGCACTGTTGTGTGTTGTGTGTTGTGGGTATACGGTGTAAGAGGCAATGCCCAGAAACGAATAAAATCCTACCTTAAAAATAGACTTCAGTCAACAAACATTAATAAAGTATGTCCCGTATCGAAAATTGTGAAGTTTTATGCATCATCACAGAGAATAGTAAGTCAAGGAGTACCTCAAGGTAGCGTATTGGGACCTATTGGGGATTATTGAATGGCTTAAATATAATGATCTAGTTATAAATCTTGACAAAACCAAACTTATGAACTAGATACAATAAACCTATGCAAACTAGAGTGGTATATGAAAGCAAGGAGGTCGGTGAAACAATGACAGTAAAGTTCTTAGGTTTATATATGGATAATAAACCGGTTTTGAAGGGTAAGGGTGCTGGTGAAATTACAGGCACATGGGACTTGTCAACTTATGTCTCAGGGTGACGGGCGTAGTGGCAGTACCCCTCAGATCTTTGCGGTTTGAACTCTCTCTGTCTGAGTGGTACTGCAACTGTTATGGACAGGTGTGTAGCTTACCACTAGGCACACCACTTGCTATTATAAAAAAAAACTTGGAGTGTTTAAACTTTAAAGTATCTAGGTCATCAAGTTGGTTACCTGATCTCGGAAAGGAGACGACCCAGATGTCATCGGCTTTCAGAGGTAGACTGTAGAACAGTTCAGCTTCTCGTTTGTATCGTGATGGAAAGAAGTACTTTTTTGGGCCAACTTGAACAAAACCTTCTTGTACTCCTGGAAAAGATAATCATTATATAAGATCCAAAGTAGCATAAATTCTCTTATATTGGACAAACAAAGCGAAGTATTTGTACTCGCGTCAAAGAACATATAGCTGATGTCAAACACCGTCGCGTAAACAAGTCTGCAGCCTGCGAGCATGTCATGGATAAACCTACACATTCAATGAAGTTTGACAAACCCCAGGTCCTTGCAAAAGAAGTCCGTTATCTACCCAGGATGCTGCGAGAGGACATTGAAATTAAAAAACATCCTAATTTCAACAGGGAAGATGGTTTCTCCGTACCACCAGTTTGGGATCCAGTATTTCCCGGATCCAGTATTCTGCTAATAATTTTTTAAAATTATTAGCAGAATGATGTGAAGCTAAAATGTCAAATTTTATCTGCTCTTGGTGGTTTTGGCACCATTTTAATTTGCTTTTAAATATCTTGCGGCTTAAACACATGTCGTTATATACAGATCCAGATGATGGCCTGTTACATAACAGCCATAATTCATGTTTAAGCCTGGCGTTTGCGTGTGCCTCACGAACATGTTTATTCCAGCCCGAAATCTGACGATATTTAAATGGCCTCTGTCACACAGTACTGGTCTGCTGCGCGGCTTCCGATAAAATATTTATAATGCTAGAATACATCGCATCAAGCGTCCTACGATGTTCTATGTTGTTACAGTGCGAATCGGTACACAAGACAAAATTCTGTGGGCACACAATCTGCCCCAGCTTATCACTACATAGGCGACAATACTCCTCGATCTGATCTTCATCCCTCTCCCCCACATTGTTTTATTGACACTCTCGCTATTTACGGCAACGTGGATTTAATCATATTTAGATTACATGTAAGAGTGACGGGAAAGTGATCAGCCCACATTCGTCGGACACTACACTTACATCAGTAATAGTACTGTAAGCAGCTTGAGTGACAATGCAGTGATCCAGCCAGCGCTCATATCCGTGCGCCTCAATAATGTAAGTGCAGCAACCCGACTCTGCACCCATTATTTCCGTGTCCGCACACACCCAATTTTGCTCCGAGCAGAAGACTGAGAGTTCATGCCAAAAAGACTCACCGGGATGAGCATTATAGTCACCAAGCATATAAACTGCCGCACAATCACAAGTCTCAACAATAGCGCACATTTCACTTAAACAGACAGTGAATTTCGCAAGATTTTCACTGTTATTTGTTGGCATATATACACTAAAAACAACAATCGACCTGCTGCTGAGTGTAACTTTTACGGCCGCAAGACGCGAACTTACACAATTTATATCATTAACAGACTTGAAAACCCCCCGACGCCATAAAATAGCAGTTCCCCCGTACGGTCTTCCCCGTAGTACACCGACAGACGTATGCGGATTTGCCAGTGACGTAGTGTAGTGTCTGACTAAAATCATGTCGATGTAACATATGGTCGAAGTAGCGTACTGTCTGACTAAAATGATGTCGATGTAGCATATTATCGTAGCGTAATGTCTGACTAAAATCATGTCGATGTAACATATGGTCGAAGTAGCGTACTGTCTGACTAAAATGATGTCGATGTAGCATATTATCGTAGCGTAATGTCTGACTAAAATCATGTCGA